TTGCCAGATGAATTGCGGCGAGAATTACCACCGGATCAGGCGGAATATTGCATTCAGCGAATGCCTCCATACAAAGGACCGAACGCTGTGCCTGGAGCATTAGACTATCGCTCTTTCTCAACGGCTCTATATGGTGAATCTGATTTGTAAAATTACATAATAATCGATATTATTCGATGCGGAATAATGTAAAAAAAAAAAGATACAAAAAGCGAATCAGATATTGTCAATTGACAAGTGAACGCAAAATTACTCCTACTATTTTAATACTTTAACGCATCAACGTATTTTCATGTGGCGATACGTTTTATAAAAATGAAACTCACTATGAAAGAGTACAATACATTTAATAATATGTCATTACACTAAATATTAATAATTGTACGTACGTGTGTATGTATATATACATATATATACGTATACATACACACTCAAGGTTATTGGAATATTTGAGGTAAGAAAGAGCAGATGATGTCATTTTAACGCAAAGGGATCTAAGTGTGTCAAAATAGATAATTAAGAATATCTTCCACATGAATGGAAATCACATATCAAATATACAAGGAAAGAAGATTTAAGTAACTTATATAAGTCTGTTAACGTGACAATAATGAATATCAAATATATTTAGATACCTTTCGTTAAAAGGATAGGGGAAACGTAAATATATATAGACACGAAGTTCGAAATCAATGTACTCTTCTAGAACGTTTTGCTACATGCTTGCTCTTTTATTCTTTTATGTAGTCTACACCGAAATGGGACAGCTCGAATTTTCTTTTTTTTTTCTTTTTGGGATGACAAGTGCCAATGTTAGGTAAGATCTGACAATTCTTGTCTTGTAATAGAAAGGAATTGTGTCTTAGATTGGTAATTATGGTAAAAAGAAAAGGCTCACATAATTGGATATGCATAGTTAGTGAGTGCATTGATACTAGAGGCTCTCCGAATTATTATTAGAATAGTATTACTGAATATTTATTCTAAAATCCTAATAGCCTACATTTTATATTTGATTATACAGCGAAAGAGATATATATACATATATTTTTAGACTTGCGATTTTTGCTATTGTAGCACAACAATTTAACAATGTTTTTGGATTGGATTTTTTTGACCAAATCCATTGTATCTTCATTATATTTTATAATCGTATTATGTTCGTCGATAACTTAAACGTGCCCCTTTAAAAATTGCCAAGTTTTATACATTGCATGTCGGGTGCACATTCCGTAAGGCCATAGATCAATGTTCGCACAAACATCAAACTAAAAGAGAAATCGTCAAAATGTTAAAATTCAAAGAAGTAATAATAACGAGTTCTTAACGATATATAAATCGATCCTCTCGCTAAGTATCCAGAAAATGTACGCTCGAAATCGAATAATGCCCATATTTTTTTAATAAGCGCGGCAAACGAATCTTTAAACGACAAGCCGTCGCCTTGTAAATCGTATGTTAAAGATATTGCGAAACGAATATGCTGAACGAAGCAAATTATTTATTTATTTGACTTTAATAATTATTTATTATATCGCTCCGATATATATCTATTTTACGGTAGTGAACGGAACACTTTTCTCTCAAAGTATTTATTTTTATAAATATCTGCAAAGAGCGATAAGGCGCTAATTGTAATATAGAGTTCATCGTGTAAATCTCCAAATCGCAGCTATCATTTCTTGTATCTCAGTTTAAATGCGACGCAGCCTTATCAAAAGTGAAGTCAGAATCATCATTATTGTTTAAATCGTTGTGAAAAGTCAATCTCTCGATAAAATACTCGTGTGTGAAATCCAATTACTTTTATTGGCAAAAGTATACTGTAAATTTCTTTCTTATTTCTTTCTTTTTTCTCTGTGTTTTGCTTGTTGCGGCTATAATGCGCTTTTCAATGTCTATCTTAATGTGTTTTTCTTGAGAATTTACTTAATTTCTCATTCCTTTTATCTCATTTATTTCTCTCGCAGTATACTATATTGGGCACATAGAGAGACGAAAAATATACGCCAAAGCAGAAAGTTAACTGCTATAATGAAACAGTATACATGTAAAACAACACACACGCACTTTTTCACATGTATATGTACACATGCGTAAGGAAAACATACGTAATGCCAAAAGGAAAAACGTATATTTTGATCCATATCCAAATATATATATATATATATATATATATAATGTGTGTGTGTGTGTGTGTGTGTGTATATGTATACATATATATATATACACATACATACATACATATTATATATATACATATACATACATACATACATACTATATACAGATAGCTAATTCATTATGATATTCGCAAATACTTAAAAACGAATATTTAAAATGAAGTTCGAATATTCGGAAAGTTGATGTCGAATTCCTTGTTACGATTGTCAAATATTGTCATACAAACGAATACATTCTCATTGTATATGTATAGCATACACTTACAATTGTAATTATTTTATGAGACAATATTTATGAAATTACGACAACTCGCTGAAACATGATCGTCTCGCGCTGCATTACATTTATCAGCTATTACTGTACACTTGTTTTGCTCATCTCATCTTCCTAGATTAATAAAAATAACATTGTGAAATACAAGAATATCGGGGAAAATAAAGAAATCTTTGAAAAAAGTATATATTATTGCGTCCGAGAAATTTGTTTATTTACGTCTGCCTGTATATGAACAGTTGGAGCACGAAGAAATCAATAATCTATCAAAGATATTTACTAACGAACTGTCCTTTAATAAAAAAAAAAAAACAGTAAAAGTTTTGTCAAAATTGTTACCGCGTTGATCGAGTGATATTCGGTTTTTGACTTACCGGTTTTCAACTTATCGTTTTCGGATTACTATTTTTTGTATAGCAAATTAAGTTGTTTTAAATAATTGATACGATAAGTGTCTCTGGAAGAGCAAATCCTACGTGACCTATTCTTCCTTTTTCTCTTCACAATATCTATATCTTACTATAGCTCATTACCTTTATTATGATCCGTTTTTTAAGAAATACACAACAAAGACGTATATGTGGTTAAACGATGCTTTTATTTCACGTACAAAATAAAAATCTTCGATACAGTTTACATATTCTTCATTGATATAACATGTCACATTGTGACATTCTTGTTCATGTTCGCTGAAAAATTTTCTTTAATAAATCGAAGTGAAATAGCTTTATGTAAAATAATGATGCCAAATTTTATATTACCTTTATTACAATTTACAACTTAGTTTTTAAAAATGTATAACAAACAATCATGTGTGAGTGTATGTGTGTAATTGAACAATTTTCAGCTTTTATTTCATATATAAAAATTTTCAATCTACACACAGATCCGATGTACTTGACAAGCCAATGAAAGTCCACTAGTTAATGAAAGTCGAACAAAATTTATCGTATATTTTTTTAGCGAGAAGACTTATCGAATAGGAAGAACTTTATCGAAAAAATTTACAGATAAGTTAGCGCTAGTACGAAACGCAGAAAGTATATTTATCTTATACACTACTTATAACACTTAATATTTACATAAAACAGACTTTAACGATAATATCACCGCTCTGTGTTTTCGTTCGATTATATGGCTATTGCACAGTCGTACAATAAGTAGACGAAATACGTTGAAATGATTGAAAATAGCTCACTTCGTAGTCAACGACTATAAATGAATTAGTTTTTTTACAGGCCACTAATGATTTTACAAAGATAAAAAAAATTTTTTAATTTTTATATGAAAGCCATTAGCAAACTTCTATTTGATATGTGTGTATATATTGAGATACTACTGTACTTCTAGCCAAAAAAAAGAGAGAAAGAAATTTTTTTTATGAAGAAACGGGTGGAATTATAGCCTTTTCACTATCTGTTTCACTATAACTGGATCAAATGTATCTTCAAATGAATAATCCAATTATTTCACGCTTGTTTTCTGATCATATAATTCTATACTGTAAAATAATTTTGACGATGATTTCTTTAGAATATTCTTATTCATCATCTTGTAACGATAGTAAAGTTTGTTAGTCTAGTAATACCATTTCAAAGTAATACTATTTTGAGCTACATGCGTGAAAAGAGAGTGAATTAAAATAGAAGCGAAAAAAGTCATACATATGTATGGTCAAAACGAATATTGATTTAATAATATTTTCGCATAAATCTTATAATTTCCAGTTCGAACAAATTGCACCGATTATTTGTCGGTCTTGAAACACTCCAGTTAAGAAATAACTGGTTGAATTGACATCGATATGATAATTTCGACGTTAATTTGATGTCGTTCAACAGCTGATTGACAATCATTTATCACTGGGACAGTCCTAAATAAAAATTGGAATATGTAATATCACAAATTATAATAATTAATAATTAATTGACAAACGAATAATAATCTGATACTAATGCATATCTTAAAAAATGCTGTGAAAAATTTATTAAATTACTTGCCAATTTAATTTGTAATATTACATCTCCAAATTCAGTTTGCTTGAATTGGAAATTATAAGAGTCACACAAAAATCATAAGACAATCTGCTTTGACCAAATATGACTTTCTTAGCTTATTTTATTGATCATTTCTTGGTCGATTTACACTTACTATTAATAGAATTTTTTATATTTATTTTGCAATATTAGGAATTCCTTTTTCTTAATTTTTAAGCCAAGTGATTCGCCGTATCCGAAAGTTCGTCTTCCGAGATGTCACAATGATAATCACTCGACAGTCATATATTTTCTTAAAGATATTCCACGTATAACAGAAATAAATAGTGTATTATTTAGGTTGTATTCCAAATTTACTGCCAATGCTAAAAATTTATAATCTACGTTACATATACTACAGATTCTCAGCATTGAATGAATTTTGAAATACAGCCTTAATATATAAATATAATTAAAAATAATAAATTGACAAACAATAAATTGATAAAGATATAAGTATAATTAAAAATTATCTACATAAATGTAGAGAAAACATAAAGTTTGCGTATTTAACTCTAAGAAATAAAATTGAGGTTGTTCAATTGTATCGATATTAAACTTAATTTAATACTTTTACTATCTTTTTTCAGTTTGTAGTGTCACGTAATAGAAACAAAAGAGAGGGAATTCTAGGAGATATTGATGTAATCGAGCCTATGCAATAATTTCTTTCTGTCGAACTGTCGAGTGATTGAAGCAAAGCCTCTATTAGTCCTTACAACCGAGACCGGCGGACCAATTGCAGATACCGCCGACCGGATCGAAGGACAGCTTGTCGGGACAAGTGTATTCGGTTCCGATCACCTGACCGTTCACCATACGAGCGCAAGTGATGAATTTTTTACACGAGTACGGATGCGGGAAGTTGCCCTGGTCCATGCAACGTATGGTACCCTTACTCGTGAGGAAGAGTTTACTGTTGAGGACAGATTTACCGATGACACTCGGCACCTCGTCCTCGTAATAATCATAGTCGATCACTGGCGGTCTTCTGGGTCTTGTAGTCGCGTTCACCGTAGGCCTGTCTTTCGTCTGAGATCTCTGGCGGCTTCGAAAGTTCGTATCATACCTTGAAACTGTCCTACTGGTCGTAAGATCTGTTCTAGGTATCACGGTGGTGCTTATCTTGCGCCTATCGACATCCCTTAACGGTGTTCGACCTAGTTATAGAACCTGATTAGTCTTTTGTCACTTCGATATTACTAAGAGGACAAGCAGGTCACTGATTCCCATAGTGAGAGAGCGCGTCGAAGTGAAAAGATCGAAATTCATTAGTAAAACATCAATCAATGATAGATGAGAGCCAATAGCTGCACAGAGATTGAAAGACGAAGAGACGAATGTCTCGATAACCTTGTCAGGAATATCATAAACATGTATGTAAAATCATGTTAACAAATCCGATTTAGAATGAGTATCAACGAACGGTACAAAAACAGTTATTCCTGAGAAGGTCGATATTTTACAACCAGCCAACCATTTAAATCCTATCATTCGATTGAAGGATTCATGCCATGTACTGTCCAGTCTGTCGATAATGGCATGAATTCAACGATTAGTGATTAATTCGCTTAGCAAAGCCAAATTATGAATAAACATGGCCGTAAGAGAGAAAGAGACGATATTGATAGTATGCGTGGAAATTAACAATTGCATTAGTATAAACGGCTGACATTAATTAAGACAAATTCGGAAGAGAGCCGCGTATAAATCGCGGAATTGCGCAATCGAAAAAGGAATAGAGAACAAAAAACAGATGATAGAAGCGAAAATCATGAAAAAGATATGCGTAATGAATGAATTATTTGATTGAATGATGACGTTATCGCGAAGATTCCGTATTTTTAAGAAGACAGTCTTTTGAACGATTAGCTAGCGTCATACGATTTGACATAAATCGAGGAGCTGACAAGGCAGATTATTAGGGTCGTCGTTAAACAATTATCAGAAATGACCTCGAAACGAAGAAGCTGACCGCGACGGTCTTGAAATAAATCGATTGCCATTAAAAACGCATAGCTACCCGATGTAGTCCGTGAAGAGAATGAAGTATATGATGAACTTAGTATATGGACTTCAGATTAGAAGAATTAGAAAATCAGATGGCGTGGTCTAACAAATATAATGTACCAATGTCTGACGTCGAGGACGGCGGGTCCGATAGCGTCACCGCGAATTCTTGGGCGCGGATGCTTTGATCGGACACGTCTGCATTCTGATCATGCAAGACGGTAGCCGGCTTAACATAGGACTCGGTGCCTTCGAATGCGTCTGAAAGAAGAAATGATTCGAAAAAAAAAATAAAAATTTAAACAGGAAAGACAAAATTAAACTTTTTAAAAAATATGGGCTAGAAATAAACGAAGTAAATGAATGCTACTTTTAGGTGAACCTACCGACGAAATCTATCCTCGATGATATTGTGGTCTCAACCGGTCTACGTCTTCGAACTGTATTCGATAAGGTGTTGGTTAGCGGAGCGATCGTTGTGAACGGCGTCGGTTTCCTACGTCTATTAGAATGTCCACTTTCTGAGTTGCGATTAATTGATTTATCGTTCGTCACCTGCTCGAGATACAATTGATTTATATATTGATTTATAATACTAGAAATAATACAAATCGATATCACAATATTACAATATCGTCAATCCAGATAAATGCACACACACACACACACACACACACACATATGTGCATTCGCACATTTTGACAAAGCAAAGCTCTTACGATAGATTCATGATAAAGATAAATGAGAAACTCTAATATCTCAGACAACACAAATATCTAGAAGTTTTTTAAAATATTTAAAAAGTTTTTCATTTATATTTATATCTCATTTATATTAATATCTATTTTATAATCCGTATTCATACCTCACTTTATCGACAAATGCGTGCATTTAACATGTAGTTCATGTTACATATGTTAAAATTTCAGAAACAAATATGCACATTTATCGAAAGAGATATGAATATGTTTTTTTAGTTTTTTTTTTATTCACCTTATCCAAAGTGCTTTTTAATCATTAGAATATTCTTCAAATATCTTTTACATATTGTAAAAGATTTTTAAAATTTTTCAATCATTCTTTTAGAAATACTTGAAATATCTTTTAAATTCTTTTAGATTCTAAGTTACATTGGAATTTTGTGTTGTTTGCGATGTTCCACGTGTTAAGATATTAATCATTGATCTAGATATTAAAACGTTGAAAATAACTTATCAGAAAAAGTAAATGGACATTCACAAAAATGCGCGCTTTTTGAAAAGATATTTGCTAATGCTAGGAAGAAATAGCAAATGAAGATATTCCTTAATCCGTTCGCGTCCCAAAATATTTGCTCAGAGAGAAAAATTAAGTTTCCAAATTTAATCCGGAGTAGATAGGTTTTTAATAGTCAGAGGAAAAAGAGCGTTTTCGTAGGCGAGTAATATGTCTTAGAAATATGATGATAACGTAGTAGCGTATAAGATGATAATGTAACTCCTTTTATTTCACGGAAAATATTTTATTTAGATCCAGTGAGAGGCGATGATCGAGGCTTTGTCAAACTGCCAACTTCAAGAGAAGCCACTAAGTTATAATCAATTATAATCGGTTCCTTCCAAATTAATCATTCGTATCATGTTCATATACCATTAATTGATAAATTATATTTTGATTTGATATCAAAAAATATGACGATTATCAGCAATCGAACGAATGATTATATTAAGCGGTTGAAAGTAATCTTCATGGCACTGCCGCTTTGCATTATTCTCTAAAATCTTTTCGAGAAGTATACCGATCGATTAGACACCAAAAGCAGATTCAGAAGAGATTATATGTTGAGTAAGAGGTATCTTCAGGTGATTTGAAAGTAAGACGTTAAATGATGATTTCTGCGAGAAAATTATGCTTCAAGAGGTCTTTTGGTTAGCGTCAAGAAGAGGTGGTGGTACTCATAGTAGTAAGTCAGTTCTACTAGGGTTCCTCATTAGTTTTTTGCAGCGTTTCGTTCTTATGTTTCCGTTTTGGTTAAGGCAACATGCGATCAAGAAAATACAATGTTATCAATTTAAAGTGGATCTTCGACTTAAAGCTGCACTGACCTCGAGCGAAAATCGATCAGTGTCCTTCTCGACCGGAACAGACGTCCTCGTGATCTGCGACTCCGTGTCTTCCTGTTTGGTCATCGCCTCCTCTTCCTCGGATTTAGAATGCTTCATCATCTTTTTCTTGTCGGGAAGATTATTGCCCATATGAAGATTACTTAAAAAGTGGAACGTGTTAAGTACTTGAGAATCTTTCCTAGCAAAATCAGAAGCGACAGTTTCTTCAGCTACTGAATCTCTTTCCTTGGATGTAAACTTGACACTTTTCAATGCATCTTCCATTCTTCTTTGTGCGTCTTCTCCATTAAAAAGATTCTCGTGAAGGTTACTTGAAAAATTATGTTGAAAATCTTTAGCGGAAAAATTAGAATCAGAATTTACACTCGTTTGTTTAATTGTTGAATTCTTTTCCTCGGATCTAGGCTTGATGCTTTTCAATGCAACTCTCATTCTCCTTTTAGTTCCATGTTTGACAGGAAAATTTTCGCGAAAATTATTTGAAAAGGTGTCTCTAAAATTTCCATTGGTGAAATTAGGATGATCTACAATCATTCCTTCAACCATTGAATTCTTTTCCGGATCAGACTTAAGTTTGACGCTCTTTAATACAACTCTCATTCTTCTAGTCCTATATTCAATAGGAAGATTCTTAGCGCTGTAAAAATTATTAGAAAAAGTACCTTGGAGACTTTCATTGGTAAAATCATCTTCTGTACTGGCTTTTTCAGTCTTTGTCTCCTCTTCTTCAGATTTAGATTTAATTCTCTTGAATACAACTCTCATTTTTCTTCTTGTTTTTTCCTCATTAGAAAAATTCTGACTTATGTTATGATTATTTAAAAAATTATTTTGAAAATTTATTTTATTGGCAAAATCAGGATTTGTTTCTTCAATCGTGGAATTCTTCTCTTCAATTTTAGATCTAACATTCTTTATAACTCTCATCCTTCTTCTTGCGATTCTTTTGTCAGAAAGATTCTTATCTGCGTAAGAACTTTTCGGAAAATTATCTCGCAGATTTGTATTGATAGAATCAAAATCTACCCTCTCTCCTTCGATTAGGTTCTTTTCCTCGGATTTAGGTTTATTTTTCGGATTTTCTAGTTTAGAAAAATCCTTAACTACATAAAGATTATTTTGAATATTATCTGGAAAACTCTTATTAGCAGAACTAGAATTGATACTGATGTTTTTTGTTGTTAACAAACTTTCTTTAGATTCTTTCAATATAACTTCTTGTTTTTCTTTGATATTTTCATTCTCATAATGAGTTTGAAGTGTTTCATTCTCAATAATGGTAGATGTCTGAAGAAATACTGTTGTTTCTTCTGTGGGTAAAATGGTATTCGTTTCTTCCTTGATTCTTTTCTTTAGTACAACTTTCCTTCTTCTCATATTTTCTACCTGATTATAAGCATGATCAGTAATATTTTGAACATCAACAGTATCTTGATCGGATCTAATAGTATTATTGAACGCTTCAGAATTAATTCTGATTCTTTTCTGTATGATTCTTCTTTTACGATTCTTCTCGATCGCTTTTGAAGACGAAATATGAGCAGCAGGTCTTTGTAATCGTCTACGGTACAATGTAACCTGACGTCGAGGATATTCATTAGTTCTTTGTAATGTTGTAGGACTTCCAAGCCAATTGTTTGTTCGATTTAAAACGCGACGTTTAGCAGTTTTTTGATTGAATTGATAATTGGTTGTGTTGAGTTCCGTTTGATTCTGTTTTTGATTTTCTGTAATCTTTGAAATAGTTTCTTCTGACACCTTTATTTCTGGAGCTGTAAACTCATTCCTCATTGTTTGGGCAGAACTCAATTTGCTAATAGTTGCAATTGTTTGATCTTCAGTTTGACTTGGTATTTTCATTGAAGTTTCCTTAACATCTGTCTTCTGTTCTAACGTTAAAGACTCTTCACTTATTGTTCGTACAAAATCTGATTTATAAGTGTCCGTAGTTGTTCGAATAGTGGAGTTTATCGCAATCAATTCGTCAGTAGTCGCAAAGGGCGTAGGAGCTGTAGATTGTTCTACAGCTACAATCGTTTTGTTAGTAATTAATGTTGTGATTGAAAGGGGAGTTGAAGGAATTTGAGTGATTACTGGAGTAGAGGAATTTTCATCCCCTTGGGTTGACAATGTAGTTGTTACAACAGATGATGCTTCGAAATTTATACTAGAATGAGGCTTTGGATATGCTGTCGAAGTAAATGTTGAAGGGATTTCGAACGTTATGGGAATTTCAGTAATTTCAGTAATCTCTGCAATTGTTGTAGCGGCTAATATCTCGGAATTGCTGCTATTAAAATTATTTGAATTTTCGAGATATATTGTAGAGAATTCAGGCGTTAAAATTGTAGAAACATCTGAATTTGTTGAAGTTATATCTGTATTCGTAATGAGAGTCTTGGGCGAAGTCACAGAATTATTTTTAGATAGAATCATAATTGGCGAGATCTCGCTGGTTGAAGAAGTGAAAGGAATGTTTGTATTTATAGACGATGTAATTACATTAAGATCAGTAGTCGTTGGAATAATTACATTAAGAGGCGTAGTCATTATATTTGTCGTTACAGTATTTATATCTGCGAGATTATTCGTTGTCATGGGTGTAGTTGCATGTATATGTTGCGTGTTCACAGTTGAAGGAATGACTGTTAAAGGTGAAGTAGTAACGGGAATTGTAGCATTATTAACTGTAGTGAATGTGGAATAATTTTTAGTTATGGAAAATGTTTCAGCTGTAACACTTGCAGCTGTAACCAAGGTTGTAGAATCAATTACATCGTGCGTACTTATAGTTGTTGAAATTGCATCTGCGGAATAATTTGAGGAAGTAATACCAATATTAGTATTTGTAATTTGCACTGTAGTCATATTTGCAGAATCATTTACAATTTCCTGCGCATTAGCAGTTACTGGTCTGGATGTAGTTACGACTCCAGTATTCATTACTGTATTTACATGATCGGTTACAATTGTAGTCTCCGGAATTATATTTACATTTGTAGAAGGAATTTCACTTTCAGTATTTGCTGCGAACGTAACCGTAGTTTCAGGATCAGTTAGAATTGCATTTTCAATTATTGGATTATAAGTTACGAAATAATTTGGAGTAGTTTCAACTTCAGTACTTATAGTTGTGGGTGTATAGATTATGGCAGTCGCAACTGTGGGTGCTTTTGAAACTGTGACTGCTATCGTCGATGACGTCGTAACAGACGCGTTAACTACAGGAACATTCATGATTGTAGGATCATCTGAAAACGTTGAAATATCAGCAGTCGTGGCATCATTTGATGGAATAGTTTTTAAAGGAGTCGCTGCAATTATTGAATTTGTTAAAGTCACTGTCTCAGTTACATTGCTTTCCGAGTCTTCAGTTTTGGCATTAGAATTATTCGTTACTGTATCGGTTACATGATCTGTTACAATTGTAGTAGTCTCCGGAATTATATTTACATTTGTAGAAGGAATTTCACTTTCAGTATTTGCTGCGAACGTAACCGTAGTTTCAGGATCAGTTAGAATTGCATTTTCAATTATTGAATTATCAGTTACGGAATAATTTGGAGTAGTTTCAACTTCAGTACTTATAGTTGTGGGTGTATAGATTATGACAGTCGCAACTGTGGGTACTTTTGAAACTGCTATCGTCGATGACGTCGTAACAGACGCGTTAACTACAGGAACATTCATGATTGTAGAATCATCTGAAAACGTTGAAATATCAGCAGTTGTGTCATCATTTGATGGAATAGTTTTTAAAGGAGTCGCTGCGATTATTGAATTTGTTAAAGTCACTGTCTCAGTTACATTGCTTTCTGACTCTTCAGTTTTGGCGTTAGAATTCGCAAGATTATTGTAAACGCTTAAAATTTCAGGAAATGCCGTAAAATCATCGGATACCGTTAGAGAAGTTGTCGATATGGTCGAAGCCGTAGAAAGTTTATTTCTTGAAGCCAAAGTTGAAGCTTCAGTTAAAGAAGCGCTTCTTAAAGTGTTCGTTACGGCATAAATAGAATCGCTCTCTGTTTGTCTTATAGCGTCCTTGATTGGTGAAACGGTAGTCCTATTTCTTTTCTTTACCACTATACGTCTGCCCGTCCACAACGGCGTGATGGCTTCGTTGGATCTATTTACATCGAGGGCGATTTTTCGTCTTGTCGGCGTTGTCGAAGATGCGACGTAAGAGTTAAAAAGTGGCGTCATATGATTAAAATTGTGCAACGATTTTTCTCTCTTGGACGTTGGCTCATCGACAAGAACTGTAATTAAGTCAGATTTTTCATGATTTGAAATCTCAGGGTTTGAGAAAGTCATTGAAGAATTGGGTACGGAATATTTCTCTTCGTGAATATCGATACCTTTGTCGTTAATGATATTTACATTGTCGTCGAGAATATTAGGTCCCGATTCAATCTGATCATTATAAGCGACAGTAACAGTCTCATCAGGCATAGAAACGTCGGAAATTAAAATAGTTTCCGTCTGCTGTTCAACGGGAATATCAGTCGTTGTGTAAAGTGGTGTAGAATTATCCACCAATATTGATGATACATTTTCGCTTCTGGTGATGTAAAATCCACGCATTACTGGATTGGAAATCAGACTAACGAGAGAAATGCCGCGCATTGTCGTTGGTTTCAAATACATCGAATTGGTAGACGTCTTTCGTTCAGTCTCGTCTTCTTGAATAATGTTCGTGACTGAAACTTGTTCATCAAAGTTTGTAACGTCGTCTTTTCTTAAAGTGCGAGATCTCGCTCTGTTTTCCGAGGCTTGTTGCAGCCACGAATCGCCGGTTTCTTCATTTATGTCTCTCGGTGATTGGGTGATCTCTTTTTCACCGTCTTGCGACTCGTCTGTTTCTCTCAACAACTTCTCGACGTTCTGCTGGCTAATATCGTTGTCCACTTCGTTACGCAACAAGTGCAAGAGTACGGATGACGACGTCGTAGCAGTACGATCGTCGTAGTAAGTCGTCGGATAGCCAATCAGTTCCTTCAGAGTCGGCAGCCTAATAGCTTCCGAATCGGCGACCTGAAAATCAGAATAATGCAGCGCGCTTTAATACGGAGGTTCCTAAAGACCTCTCTGTTTCTCCTTGTCCTCTCCCTTCATAATTTACTTCTTTGCAGTCTCCTTCTTTCTGTCTTTCTGTCTATGCGTGAGCTGCGTCAGCTTGGAGGAAAAAAGAAGGAACATGAAGAGGAAGACTCTTTAGTTATCTATTGAAGCGCCGCGAACGTGTCTTGCTTGTTGCGTTAATTTGGATCGATTAAGGAATCATCCTAGGACATCGATAGTGTTTAATGATTATTGTATTTGTGGTAAGTAGAAGTACATCATCGAGAAAGTTATCAGAGATTTCAGTCAAAGATTCCCCTCTGAGTAAGCGGATGAAGAAGGTGCTCGTTATGATTCAGATATTATTGATGATGTGAGGATGATACGTGAAGACGATTATTCAGTCGTCGGTCGTCGTGAGCTATAACGAGTCTTTGTCGTTCCTTTTGATTTACATAGTTATATTTAATGTCTATCTCATAGAACTATCTTAAATATAATATAATTAAATTTTGTTAAGAGTGTTATATACATTAGTGACCTTTAAATGTCTACTAACACTTTAATGTTCCTTCCGATAAATCGGCGATCGCAATTGGTTTCTTAATTACTTAATGGCTGGATCTATGTACATTATCGTTGACTACATTGATAAATAGTAACGACATTCGTATACTATTATTTCGCGGAGCTCTTGCCGGCGATCAGATTGCTGAATACTGACTCGATCTCGATAGTCGAAGACTCATAAGATTCTGTAGTAAATCGATCATTATAACGATAATTGAACTCGCCCTCGATGGGCAAGGTGGATCGCTCGACACCATGACGAACTTCGTTGGCAGGGTCATCGTTGACTCCAGTCAAAGTTGACAACGGAGTTGTTGGAGGGAATTGATCCGCTGGTATCCTCGTGGTCGATGTCAGTGACGAATACTTGGTCTTGATGAGGATCTTCTGCCGCTCCGTGGTACCGGATTCTGTTACCGAGGTTACCAATCTAGTTACGGATGGTTTTACTGTAGTATAATATGGATCAATTAAATTTTGTGAGTCAAAAAAATCGTTGCTCCTTGGCGTTGTTGTTCTCAGTGATTGCTGTTTCCGATGGAAAGCATCCGCAACGTAATCAAATTTTTTCATCGGTATCAAAGTCTCTGTGACTGCCGCTTCCGTACTGGTTGACGTACGTTTTGGATACGAACGTGTTCTGAAATATTGCCAAGTGCTCGTAGAGTCCGGACTCGGCTGCGTAGTTTTTTCCTCGATTTTAACATTATTCCGATTTAGAAGCTTATAACGCATTCGCGGCTGCCGGAAGCCGGATTGTCTCAGCCTAGCATCCCTCGTCTCTGGTGTCTCCTCGGATTCTTCAGGTGCAGAATCTAATGGAGGATATCGCCTCGGCGATAAAGCTTCTTCAGGATCGAATGGCCTCTTCAATATTATTGGAACCTTGTATCGTGGCCGAATCTCGGGCCCGCGAGTAACAATCGGTGTTAATCGATACGTATTATTTTCTGTAAACTCTGTTCTCCCGACTTTACGGTCTTCAACATCCTCAATATAAGCTGAAGAATAATTTATTTGATCTCTTAATGAAGTCGTGGTATAATGTTTCCAGAATTCCGCGGTGTCATCCGAAAAACCATTTGTCGAAACCGATTTGTTTCTCAGAATCGTACCTTTTACAATGTTCTGTCTAGCTAAGTCACGAGATCTGCTTGTATTCTCTTTTTCTTCTCCTTCTTTCTCTTCCTTATATTTAAGATCATCGTAAAGTATATTAACGGTGCTAGAAGAAACTGGATGACGTCCAATAAATAAGTGGTTTTTGCGTTTTGAGAGAATCTCGAGGCTGCTGTTTTCCGTTAATGACAGCGCAGGAACGTATTGGTTGGTGGAGTTCCCTGAAGATGATACAAGATTCTTGCGAATGAACTTCTTACGTGCGTATCTCGAATCGGAACTCGGTCTTGTAGCTGAAAAGGAATCTGATTCCGTCGTAAATGGTGTAGTAGTTGCTTGTGTACGAGTAGTAGCTGAATCTGAATCCGATGTGGACAACGTGGTGGTTTGCACGCGAGTAGTGGATAAATTCTCAGCTTCAGTAGACGGTATTAATGCATCTTCTAAAAACATGCTTTCAGTGTTATAAGTAGTGCCTGTCGCCAACGTTGATTCAATTGTAGTAACTTCGGTATCCATTTCAATTGTTGACCGCTGAATCTCATCAGCATCTGTATTAATCGTTGATATAGTAGCAGTGCTGAAAATATCTGTAACTTCTTCGCCTGATATCGTTGTGGTTTCAATCGCGGGAGTCTCCAAAGTAACCTTCGTAAAACCATCAGGGTTGTAATCTGTAGACAAGGTGGTTTCCGTGACAGTCAAAGTCGAATCTTCCATTTCTCTCGTAAGTCCGGTTAAATCAGTAACAATCGTCGATTCTTCAGTATTTTGGCTTATTAAAGTAACCTCTGTCTGATTAATAGAAACTGTCGATTTTTCAACATCTTTATCGCTTCCCATTGGAGTCGTCGATTTTAAAAGAAGACTCGAATCTTCTTCTTCTTCTTCGAGGGGAACTTCAATCGATGTTGAAGTATTTTGAAGCGGACGTTTACGTTTTATCACTTTTCGTCTGCGAGGCCCTTGAGATGTTTCTTCTTCGTCTGTTTCAATAATATTAACAACTGTGCTCGATGATATCGGTCTCTTTCTTAGGAAAACCTTTCGTTTTCTTGGCGTTCCCGATGTTTTTTCTGCAACATCAAAGGCGCGTTCGGTAGAAACAATCGTTACCAAATCAGGATTAAATTGATGAGTTTCGATGCGAGTGGTCGTTGTGGTAACAGTATCTTTGGATTGGTTGCTCGCATCTACTTTATTGCTAGATATAGTTGTTACATCAATTTGCGTGATTGGTTTCAAATCGTAGATCGGCTGGATAGTGTTGGATTCAACAACGGAATCATTTTTTGCGGTTGATTGATCAACGCCGTTCAACAAATCGTTTCCCTCAATCCTGTCAGCTTCCGCAGAAGTACCTGTTCTGAAAGCTTTTACTGTCATCGATGCTATGTGTTTTTGATTCAAGTCATCATTTACTTTTTGCAACGACTCTTCCACGTTGTTTCTCTTTCTCGTGTACTTCGTTCTGTCATACAACTCGCGATTAACAGTCGGCTTTCTAAATACCCTGATGTTCGTTATTTTATTATTCTCCTCGTCAGATCGCGATTGATACAATGGATTTTTTCTAGAATCACCTTGTGTTATTCTTACTATCGGGCTATCATCCAATTCATTAGCTTTAATAGTTTCTGGGTTATTAACTCTGCTAGGTCTTCGATATCTTCTCTTAACATCATCAGTGGTAACTGTACCAACGGTAGTTGAAGCTGTTGTTCTGCCTCTTTCTCTGTACCTGAGACCTGGGACGGAGTTCGCGGAAACGTCTTGCGTCTTTGATCTCGACGTTGGTGGAGTGTACCTGTTGGATCCCCTGCCACGTAATCTATTAAGATCCTTGCTCCTGGATGTGGAAGTCTCCGCACGTGGAATGTCCACTTGATCCACTAACTCCTCCTCGGTAACTCGTTTGACTGGTTTTGTCCTTAATCGAACTCGCCCCAGAACCGGATTGGACGGACGCGTAGAATTTCGCGGTGTAATACTCACCTTGAACTTGCTCAATGGAGTCGTAGCCGTCGTCGTCGCTTCTAATGAACCGGATCTTCGTCTGGTAAAACCGAACGGTCGCGGTTGCGAAACCGCGGCGATCGTCGATCTGCTTGCTAATGTCGTTGTTGTTGTTGTCGTCGTCGACTGACTTGAACTACTGCTAATTGCCGGCAACGTTGTAAATAAGATCTCCGTCGCCGAATCTTCCACCAGTTTCATCGAGTCAGTAGTGGAGTCGATGTCCGTTCTAGAGCTAACATTAGATGGATTTTCTGGCGGTTCGACACTAATTGTGGTGATAACCTCGGTAGAAGTTGAAGTAGTCGTTGCAGGTGTCGTAGACAACGAAGCGGTCGTACTGACTGTTTTCTTAGATACCTCTGGATACTCTTCTAATCTCGTTGGTGAAGTCGTCTCGCTAATCTCTGATAAAGGTATTATGCTAGACAAAGTTCCTTCCGAAGTTTTCAAAGTGGTACTTCTGAATCTTTGTATATTGGAGTACCTAAAAAATAAATAAGAACGTGAAATGTATAGTAATATAAAAGTATTGTAAAAGTATTGTAGCAAATAATTATGTATAGAAACCTAGTTTTGGTTGTTGATGAATCATTATCTTTGTCTGCTGATTGATTCGTGCTTTTATCTTCTCTTTTCTCTGATTTTCTGAAGTTGTTATAAGAAATAAGAATCTTATAAAGGTAATAAATGTAGCGTAATACATACTTAGATATATATTATACATATAATTATATTATGTTATCCATATATTTACAATTTTTTTCTTGTACCTGAAACCTGAATCACGATTTCGAAAAGGTTTAGACGTTTCAGAGCTTGCTTCATTATCATGTTGTCTAAAAATAATTATTACGTAATATTAATAATTTTTAATAAATTTTTAATAGAACAGAGCGCGAATAGTTGTATCATTGAAAATATATTTACTTTGAAGAAACGATCGGTCGTCGTCTGCGAGTCGATTTTTCCTCTTCGATTTCAATTTCCTTCTCTTCCACGTCATTCTCGATTCTGAAAATTTCATATCGTGAGAGATACTATACAATATTTTTATAATATACGAGATAAATCATTTATTTTGTCAATTATCTTACTTAGATGTCGTGGTGGAAGGTCGCGTTCGTCGAATATTTACGTAACTTGGCGTCACTCGTTGAGTGGATAAGATATCTTCTAACGGGTTACTGATGCTTTTTCCTTCAAAGGAAGCTACATCAGTGTTGTCTTCCTCGTTCTCATTGATATCTTCGTTCTCGGATGAAGATTCTTTCGTGATCGATCTAATCAATATCAGAATCGTAACTAAAAGGTATATGAATTAAACATTTACAATTTATAAAATTAGTTTTATCAACAATTAAATTTAAGAAACAAATTTCTAATAAAATTAAATAAACAAAACAACAATGGGCATATAGAATTGAGTCAAGTATGGAAAATGTTACGCAGAAAATTATTCGTTATAATTAAAAATTAATAGAATCTATTTACTAGTAATAAAAAGATTTTTAATTATAACGAATAATTTTTTGAGCAACAATTTGCTCATTGTTCTTTTGTTTATTTAGTCATTTACAACATTGGTCTCAGTTTAATTTTCTGCTTCTCTTCAAAATTATGATTAACAGAAAGAAAAAATATATAAACTACGATGGAAATTAATTAAACTTAATAAGTATAATCAATATAAAGAAAGTGTGATATTATACACTTTTACTAATAATAATCAAACAAATGACTGACTTGGATCTTTCGATGGTGACATATTGAGGTTTCTGTGATCGTCTGAGACTCTTCACTTCAGGGATATCGTCCAAACCTTCGAACTGTGCTCTTCCTGGTCCATTCACGTAACTGGTTTCCGAGGACGATAACACAGGTCGATGATTACCAATTTTATTCGTTTGGCGATTCAGTACACGTTCATATAAACTACGACTAATCGTAGCCGGTGTGATACTTTCGCTGCCTGATTTGGTATCCGAATTCTTTTCTTGAAATAGCAATTGCTTTTCCAACTCTTCTATTCCTCCTAAAATAAAAGAATTCTTTAAATTATTTATTTTAAAATATAATATAAAAGATTTCCTAGCAGAAGAGATATATCAATATCATAAAAAATATTGCATAAAAATCAATATTATAAAAGATAATATAAAAAAAAGAATATTAAAATTATTAGAGTTATTATTTTAATTGCAGAAGAAGTGTTAATGTTATAGAATCATTAGAAAGTAGGTACATTGTAGTTATATGTACCTACCTGTTTAACAATGTTATACTTACCAGCTTTTTTAATAAGATCGATGAGTTCTTTGATAACCTTTGGATCTTCCTCGTCTTCGCTATCAACTCTTTCTGGTTCACTTGGTTTCGAAGTGGTCGTCGTAGTAGTAGTGGTACTTGGTCTATTTCTGGTGAGTGTTTTATACACGAGTGGTCTCGTTGTTGTGGTAGTCATCGGTTGTTTCTTACGCTTCTCCTCCTCCTCCTCCTCCTCTTCTTCCACTTCTTCGTTTTCCTCGATCTCGTGTGGTTGTTGTGCTGTGCAAGTAAGTTGTTCGACTTGTCGCGGCCGTAATGGGCGATCTAGTTGTAGAGACGATCGATGTTTTCGACGTCTTGGGACAAATTACGTTACGCGGATAATCACAAGAATCCGCCCCTTTGTTGAATACCAATCCTATAAAAATTCAAAAGGTACTATTACATGACGAATAAGTCAAAAATTTCTGTTCTAGTCTCAGATCTAGCATTAAATGGAAATAACATAACTATTACCCAGAGTATAAAATTATAATATCAATGTTATGTTACTATGGATGCAATCAGAGAAACGCTATTAACACTATTTGTATCATCTTTGTTTTACATCTAACAAATGATGAAGATAGAAGACCCCAACAGCGTTTACTAATACGTCTCGAACGCACTCTAGTACTGAATAATATTTAAAAATTCAAATTTTTTGAATTAATTTTTTATCCGTATCATTTATTTAAATTTTTAATTTATATATATATATAAATCTTTTCCTTTTTTCTCATAAAGTTAAATAATTTAAGAATTAAGAGTTAAAACGTAATAAAAATTATTAATAGTAGAACAAAATTACCTGATGGACAGATGAATTGATGCGCAACTACGCCAAGTCCACCGGGACCACTATCAAGACACCAGAAATATTTCTTGCAATCACGAGGATGCGGGAAGAAGCCTTCATCCTCACATTTAAAATCTGTAAAATATAAAATACGTAGTAGTAAAAATAACTTTGTCCCAAATACTTTTATACATTAAATTGAGACATTCTAAAATCTGAGAGCAAGAGTTTGATTAATCATTGTTTAAAACGTGTTTATCTCGTGATTTTCATGGAAATTTACCAGTTCCTGGATCGGGTGTAGTTGGTGGTTCGGGAGTTGTTAGCTTGTTGCTTATGGATTCCTCATTCTCACCAGCCTTGTTTTGTCCCTTACGTCTGGAATGCTTTCTACGAGTAGTACGATCGGCAGCACCGCTTTGCGTTTTACTCCTGTTTTGACTTTTCGGTCGCTCGGTTTTCTCTGTGACTCTTACAGTGTTTCTACCCTCTGTGTCTTCATCTGATGATGGATCATATGATCTTCTAGATACTTCCCGATCTTCCTGTTCCTCCTTGCTCGCTTGCGAAATGGTACGGTATTTTGGTCTTGAAGAGGATACACGTTTGCTGATAATCGGAGCAGATGTAGTGCTACTTCTTCGGTTGCTTATACTCGATTTACGAGTGCTGCTTTGCGTATTTTGAGTGCGGATCTTTTTCCGATTATCTACTGACTTCGTCTTTAACAATAATAATAATTTTTATGTGTATAATAATATTAAATTATAAATAGAGATAAAAAATATCTAGTATCAAAAATAATATTTCGAATTAGAAAAATCTACATTTTATGTTTTATCAATTACACAAGTCCACAAAAAAAAAGTACTCTGTGGTAGGGTGAAGACCCAACTATTTTTATGTATTTTAAGTCGCTGAATACGAATCTGACATCAAAATAGGACCATTCAAGGTAAATTTTCAATCTAGAGCGAAAAAATGATCCATTTTTGACTCATTTTTTCGATCTAGATTGAAAATTTTCCCTGGATGGTCCTATTTTGATGTCAGATTTATATTCAGCGCGCGATTCAAAATACATAAGAAAACTGGGTCACCATCCCAGCACAGAATACTTTTTTTGTATGGGTCCGTATTATCATTTATTAATTTGATGTCTTGTATAGATATTTATAAGATGACTTATATAATAACGTTAATGTGTATAATACAAAACACTATCGTGTCTCTAGATAATTATTATAATGTAATATTACATCTAATACATACATTATATATTATAATTATTATATTATAATATAATAACAGTTATAGTTTAGAGTGCTGTTTCTTAAATTGATATTTGTTGCTAATATTTATTATTATATATGGTTATATATACATATATAAGGTTACCTATCCGTAAGCAATGCCTCTTTGGCAGCCTCAATCAATGGATAAGGTCGACCGTGGCATTTCCCACGAAAATCGTCATTGTCTATCGACCAGAACATAATACCTCCCAATTTCTTCTCATTCACATAATGAGCTTTCAATTTGACTATGTCCTCGTCGTCATATCCTACCCATTGATTGTCTTTGAAGGCGTATGGTCCCATGGCTTTTGGATTTGGTTGAACAACTTCCCATTCGTCAGTATCTATTATACTCTCGCAAATCTTAAAACAAAATGTTTGATTTTCAATTTTAAATATATAAATAAAAAACATACGCTTATAAATTTAAATACATAGAATTTTTATATGTGCACTTTCATAAATTTTATGTATTCTCAGATAATTTCAACTGATCCATTATATAATTACATAAAGAACTATACGTAGTATATAAATTCTCACAAAATTATACAAGTACTTAAGATCCAACTATTTCTATTGTGTGCAATAAAATTTACCTCATAATAGGCAAGATAGCCTTTCTCTCGAGTAGCATCTCCTTCGGTACCAGGACCATCCGCTGGCGATCCGAGTTCGGTTGCATCTTGATTGAACAACGTATACGACCGACCATATGTTGGTATTCCAAGAACGACCTTATCTGCGGACGCGCCTTTCTCCAAGAGATGAGTTATTGTATAATCCTGTTAGACATTAATGAAGGCGCCTTACTAATTGATCTGATTCAAATGGTAACTATAAGATCTTAATGAGCAAATTCTCACAATAGTCAATTCCGCGTCGTAATTGTATTCGTTGTCCTCCTCCAGGGGATACAACGGTGAATGATGATTGACAGCGGGCTCGTACGCTGAGTGATAGTCGTAAGAGAGTAAATTAATAAAGTCCAAGTATTCGTTTAGTCTGGGTACATCGTAGCCTTTGTCGATATATTCGATACCGGCGGGCATCGCCATCGACAGCAACAATCTCGATCTTCCGGTCTTCGAAGATTCTCTCTCAAACTCCTCACGAAGTTCCTATCAATTCGCAATTAATTATTTTATTTAACTTTCCGCAATTCATTTCTTCTTTGATTGAAATAAGATTGCAATCGATTTTTTATCATTTTGCGTTTATCCACATTTCTATCTGTGAACCTTTAACATTTTTTTTATTTACTGAGATTTCTACAAGAAATTTTATATTCTTTTTTCTTACGATGGTAAGAAACGATTGATAAATCTACCTGCACCAAGTCGGCGTAATTGTCCTTATCTCGCGGTTTTCCGCCATCTCTAAACGCTGGATATTCCCAGTCGAGATCGAGGCCGTCGAAATGATTCTGCCTAAGAAACTTAACAGTGTTCTTGACGAATTCCCGCCGTCTCGCAGAATCGGCTACCATCGGTGAAAATCTGCTGGAGCCCTCATTCCAACCGCCGATCGCCAGCATCGTCTTCAAATTCTTATTATAGGTCTTCAAACCCGTAAATTTCGCGTATCCGCCTGTCGAGTAAACATGTTCATTGAAGAGTGAAAGTTAAATATCGGCCAAGTCATCAAAAATGATGTGTTCAGAGTTTGTCAATGTAGTACATTAAACAACTTGATAAACAGAGCACTCTAACTAAACAGAAGCAACGCTGCTTATATTTAGATATAATAGATGTAAAATTAGAAGTAGTTCTTGTTGTGAACTGAAAGTAACATTTTTAACACTTGTGGAATGGTTAACGTTTATTCTTCAATTTTCTTTGTATAATTCAGTTATTATAATACATTAAGTCATTACATTTTTAATAAATTTATGATACATTCATTTTAATTGAGTAGCCATCGATTAATTGAATACACATATCTTCGATAAATAAATAGGTAATTATATAATTATTATAACAAGGCTACAATGTTGAATTATAATCGCTACTGTATAATAATATACTATATATAATAAATTAATAAAATTCAACAAGTCTTGAAATAAATGTTACATATTTTTGTACCTTTCTCGATGTCTTGATACTTGTCGAATGGTTTCAATGCGTTTTCTTTTGTGAAACCTCCGAATGCATAGATTAAGTGAGTGCAAAGATATGGATTTATGTTTTGAGGGGAGAATTTCGCTGTGCCGGGCCGATACACTGACCAGTTCGTGTAATAACAGACAATTCTGCGTTCGGCAATTCCTAAAAGATAAAAATACACAGTTACAAGCACGGAAAATATATACTTTTTTTAAAGCAATTTTTAGATGTATTTTTCCAATTTTTTTAATATAGAAAGATGATTTTTTAGATTTCTATATTAAATAATTATAATAATTTTTACATAAAATGAAATAAAAGCGTTTTACATAAAATAAGTTGTATACATACAAATAAACCAGATGACTGCTGAATCAACAATATATTACTATCAATAATAGTTAGACCTATAAAATACTTAAACTTACACTAATAGATTTAATAAATATAATATTGATTACGAACAAAAAAATTTAAAAATATTAAAAAATAATAATTAATTACTATTGATTAATTGGTATCTAAAAGGTGTTTGGTTAAAAATATTTATCTCTTATATTTGACATTTTTCGAAAGAAGAAGAAACGAGGTCGCTTTGTTTCACAGTGACTGCTTTTCTGCTTTCAATAGAATTCTTTTGAATGAAGAGAGCTATGACAGATGCATCCTGGTGCATTGAGCCTCGCGCTGCAAGCCGCGAAAAATTTCGCTCTCTGGTGTCATCTCTCAATAGCATTCGCGCGTGCTACCAGCGTTTTCACCGCGACCGCTAAACGCGCGTTTACGAGATCGTGAATTAAATGTAAGCGCGTCCCAGACGCACACGCCTGGCTCTTCACTATATTCGCATTAAAGCGTGCGTGCACACACTCGCGAACGTGAGGAGAACGCGTAAACGCCACGAGAGAAAACGTTGTAACAGGGAGAAATTGACACGCGATTGGGACTTTCGTTTATGCGAAGAAATAGCGTTCGGCTCGCATAGCCGATTCTTAAAATGCATTTCTGATATCCGACTAGACTTCTTCTGACTTATATAGAAGAAAAATATAGCAATTTTTGAAAATATATATATGTATAATTTACGATAGACAGTGTGATCCGACGTCAATAGAAATTCAGACAATGCAAAATAAAAAGTATTTTCTAGAATTTATTTTTTTTCAAAAGCATGCACTTACTTGTAAAAACAATAATTTTTTACGCAACTATGATAATAGCATATAATTAATTTTATCTAAAATAATACACGAAAGGCAAAGTTAAGTTTTCGAGATGTATGTAGGTAAATTGAATTTTATTAAAATTGTATTGTTTCTAACAATATTTTTGCATTAATTAACTCGTATTATACATTGTTTTACATAGAAAGTAAATAAAAGATCTCGTTACATCCAGTTATATTATTTTAAATTGCTTTTTGTAAAAGCTAATCTCCTCGAATTATGAGTCTGATGATAATGCTCAACTTTTTATAATTCACAAACTAAGGAGGTCTTATAAAGTCATGATTATATTAATTGCATTAGATTGTATTATTGCGGATATCATTACAGTTAATTTAACTTCCTTCAGCAAAATGTTACGAAGATCCGTAACGAGCCACGTAATCCGATCAAAAATGGCATTGCGAAAGCGAGAGACAGTATTACGAGACGGATATTGTTTCTCTCTAGCCGTCCAAGCGGTTAATTAGTCGAATGCGTGTATATCTATGCATGAAGAAGTATGCATCTCGTTGCCCCGCTTCGCACGTGCATAATCGCCCACGAAGGCTGACTTTGATGGCATGCCGAGAGTTCGCGTCTCGTACGGTTACACGCAATGAGCACTTTCGAGCCGTTCGCGAATTATCCGTCGTTGCTTTCACCGATCGTGCGTGAAACGAGGCCGAACATCGTGTAGGAACAATTGTGTAGAAACACGAGCAGTGCCTGCAGATTAAAGCTTATTACTGACCCTGACCGCAGGAATCAGGCGACACTTTGGCGAGGTCGATGAAATATCCCTGGGCAACGATCGAAACCGAAGCGATTTCGACGAGCGTTTATCGAAGACTTACATATTTGTGTAAAGGAAAGTTGAATGCTATCGTGTATTAATTGTAATAATAATGATTAATTGTAGATTACGTCAAAGCGATCTACCATAAACTAGAAATACTTTCGAAAAATAGAAAAAATGAGAATTTCGATAAAAATTTATACACAATTTCATTTTTAGTATAAATAAGTAGGTGTCACTTTCTAATCTTTAAAATATGTAATTATTTTGCACATAAAGAACTAAAGTGTACGAATTACTTTTGCAAGAAACTTTCCATTTTCTGTAAATATTTGTAATTTGAAATTAATAAAAATAAAAAAAAAAGAAATTAAAAAATTATTTTTAAACGTATCATTTAAATTACTTTTTGCCCAGAGCAATAAAATTTGACCTAAATTATACCGGTTTTAATTTCCTTTAGAGAAATTCTAAATGTACAATTATTCAAACAACATAAACGTTTGAAAGGAACCATAAAGACATGCAAAACGTTCATAAAAATGTTTATATCATGTCCTAAACTTCTATAAATCTTTTATATAGATATTTAATAGATATGTTTTATATAGATATTTAAATATATAATTTATATTGTTAAAATAGATATGAATTTGTAAAATAATTTATTATTATTATTATTATTTATTTTAATTTTTAATTATCAAAGATTAAGATAAAGATTAATTTCGTTGAACTGTGATACGTTCATTAATTTTGTACCTACATACGTGCATCATATTCTATCTATTAATTTTTA